TCGGCTGTGCCCCGCAAACACCCTGAATCACCGAACCCCCCCCCACTTTTCCAAGCTGCTGCCCCCGGGAAGCCCCGAATCTCACCCGAAGCACTCCCCAAACCCCTCAAAAATCCGACTGCTTTCAACGGTCGACCCCCCACGCTCCCTGCCCCCCGCGCCCACCTGCTGCGCCCGTGACCGCTGGCTACCCCACGCCTCCCCGAGTGCGTCCGCGATCGGCTGCCCCGCCTGCGCATACGTCAGCCCCAGCTTGGTGGTCCCGGATTTCAGCTGTGCGAGAAGCTCCCGGGCAACTACCAGCTTAGCGGCGTCTTCCACGTCCCGGCTGCCGCCCCAGATCTAAGGGCGGCGGTAAGGGGGGTTGGGTTGGCGTGTGGGGTGCTCTTGTTTGGGGGGAAAGAGACAGAGCGTGCGTCTGCATGTTTGCGGCATGCATGCGCGCGACGTGCCTCTGCAGCGGCCGAGGCGCACGCGACGCCTTGCGAAAAGCAGCCGCGCCGTCGCCAGAGTGAATGCCGAGATGGGCGACCGCGGCACGGCTGACGGGCCCAGGGGGCCCCGAATCGCAGGCGCGGGCGCGCCCGCGTATGCAAGCGCTCTGTCAGCCCCGCCGGCGGCGCGCACCTTCTCCGCGGCGACGCCATACGCGTTATAGTTCATACAGGCAATAACCAATCCGGCCTCGCGCCGCTGCAGCGCTCGCTGCCCTCGCCACTTCGCCGGGGCCGCCCCCGTTCCGCTCTGCGCCGCTCCCGCTGTGGATGGGCGTGCGGGCTGTGCGCTGCTGCAGCTGCAGCTTGCGTGGGTGCTGGCTGCGGGCGCCCTGCTTGTGGGCAGATTTTCAGTTCGGGGAGCAAAGTGCATTGAGGGAGGAGGCGGAAGGACCGGTTGAAGTGCCCGTTGCTGCTGCGCCAGTGCTGCGCCGATGCGATCCGCATGGTGGGTGGGTGCAGCGCAGCCAAAGTGCCGCTGCACAAGATCCGCGACCACATGGCCGACCGTACCTCTACCAGCGAGTCGCGTAGATTTTCGAATCCGTCTCCAAAAGTAACAGCGCAGCCACGTCGCTTTGTTCGTCCTCAGCACGTCATGGGATACGTGTGGTGCGATCTGTAGCCGCCGAAAGCGAATGCGTCAAAAAGTCCAGCTGTGTATTATATCGTGAGTCACTTGATTACACTAGCAGCTTTGATCTGTTGGACGGGCGACACGCGAGAAAAGTTCGGCTTCGCGAGAGCTGACCGACAGGAATGGAATGGCAGCTTGTGGACGATGTTCTACGGCAGCTTTTTCACTCTCTCGTCTGACCCGTTGTGGTCTCACATGAGCAGCCCAAGCTCTGTATGATGGGGGGCACTTCTGCCGGCGTTGCGCGACCAGGCTCTGCACTGCTGCTATAGACAATACATCTACTGCCAGTCGCATTCATGCACCACATCATGAAAGGGATCCACCAGAGTATGAAAGGGATCCACCAGGACCTGCAAGGGGCGCAGCATGTTCATGTGGAGTGCTATCTCCTGCATGGATGTCGCGGTCCATGTGGGCCAACGAGTGACAGTTACGCCGGTGGATTACACGCCTACCTGCAGTTGACATTCTCACTCACACGCGCTCACGGATCCGGGCCCCCATCCATCTGAACAGCCGTAATTGAAAAAGTTGCCAACTCTAGCTGCTGCATTCAGCATCACATGAGTCATGCAGCACTGAGCCAAGCAACTAACATCTCCACATGGAGATCCGCAACGCTTTTCGGTGGCACCAATGGAGCTCATTGATTGTGGATGTGATTCGAGGTGTGCATTTTAGATCACAGAGCACACAGTGCGTGAGGTGGTGTGCTGACAGGCGATGTGTTCGTAGGCAGTCTGCAAATGTCCAGAAGTCATATGGAATCCTGGGAGTGCAGGGCCCATAACACCCTCCTGCCGTGGTCCATTGCATGAATCGCTGCCAGGCAAACAACCCGCCAGACATTGGGGTTGTTGACCCCAGGCGGCGGTTGGCACAGCCAGACATGTCGGCATTGTAGTTGTCCAGCTGATGCAGGTACGGCAGTCGCTGCTGGATGGCAGCACGCACACCGCACGTCGTTGGGCAGTTCCAGTAAACATGGCGCCGTCCTGGCCTGAGGCCGCCTGTGCCGCACGCACATGCTTCGTTGTGGTGCATGCGTTCAGGAGTACGGCAGCCATCATGAGCCAACAACCAGCAGGATTCTTTGTGCCGGTCCTCCCACTTCAGCTCCCAAAGGTACTTGACATAAAGTAGCTGCTGCTTGATTGCATCAGCTGCAGGCGCTGATGAGCTGCCTGCAAAAGCGTGCTAGGTGAATTTCTGCCGCGTTGCGCTGCGCAATTGGCGCAGCTCTGCGACACTGTGACTGCCTTGACACTGCGGCAGCCTTGACTGCGACACGGCGGCAGCCTTGACTGTCAAACTGCCCAATGACGCCTCATAACAACCGTTCACCTTCCATGCATAGTTCCCAGCTGCCGTGCTTGCCCCCTTTCTAACGTCAGGCAGCGCCGTATGTCAGGAAGAGCTGCTGGCAGATGATTGATGTCCGGCGACTGGAAGCTGCTGCTGCAGCTGCTGCTGCTGCTGCTGCTGCTGCTGCTACTGCTGCTGCTACAGTTGCTGCTACTGCTGCCAGCTGCTCAGCGTGTCCTAGCAGCACGCAGTAGTTGCATTGGGTTTAAATATGCATAAATTCATCGTAGAATTTTCGTCCGCACTTGAGTGGTAGCTGGCCGTGTTGTGCAAACGCAATTAATGCCCATCATCACTGTGGCCTCTCAACTGGCAGCATGCACTGGCATGCACCGGCACCACAACAAGAAGTTCAAATAAGTACAGGATGATTGAGACACCTTGAAGTATAACAAGTTGTGTATTTGTGTACATGAGAGGCACTGGACATACAGCAAACACTTCAGGCAACGGTGCTGGCTTTGGTGCAGAGAAACACAATCAGGGGTGTTGGAACGGCATGGTTCAGAGGCAAAATGGTCCTGAATGTATATAATACTATCCATGAACTATTCTTAAGCAACCAACCATTCCCCCATGCACTGCCGTGCCAAAGCAAGCAAGGGATCAACGTGCGCAAACCCACTCCTCCTTAGGCGGCTATGGGCTGCGCCACCTGAGCGTTGCCAGCAAATGCATGATGACTGCGCTAGGCACCAGCACAGCCTTGTGCGCAAGCTCGTCGCGGCCCACGGTAATAGCAATCAGCCTCCCGGTCTCAACCGAGAAGCAGCCGCCACTCAAGTCCCCGGTGCCAGAGAGCATGTCTCCCCGAATGTGGGAGAGGCTGTCCAGCTCCGTCGCGCTGATGATGCCGTGGCTAATGGAGCTGCTGTCGGCCTGCGCCTGGGCGGACTGCCCGTGAAGGTAGTAGCGATCGCCGGGCGACAGGGCGACGTCCAGGACTGGCGCAGCCAACTCTTCGTCGACCTGATGGCGGCGCGGCAGGTGGGAGGCGGCAGCAGTTGGGCCGGATAACCGCATGTCCGCTGCTGGCTATGGTTCCTTGCTTGGTTGCACCCTGCGCCTAAGGGCACACCATGCGCCTGTGGGTCGCATCAGCCATAAATCGCAACACGTAGGCCAGTAGGTGTCGCAACACCATCCCACTCGTACCACATGCACAGAGGCAGCGTTTGATGATGTGCCGCCGCTGGCACAAGTTTGGGATGCGTGCAGACACGCGGGCATGGCAAGAAAGAACCAAAGGATGCATGTGCACATGCTCACCACATACGCACACGCGGACTCACATGGAACCACCCAAGAATAACATGGTCGGGGTTGGAGGGGTTTATCCGGGGTTTCACCCCACACACCTCGAGGATCACGACGTCGCTAGGGGCGTCGACCAGAGCGACCCTCGAAGACACCATGCGCCGCCGGTCGCCGTCCCGTTGGTGCACCGACACCTGCGCGTCAAATTCCGTGAGGTGGAGACAACCCATTGGAACGCACCACTTGGATGGTTCAGGCCAAAGGGCTGCGCAAAGGTGGGGCGAGGATTGCGCGCTGCGCGTGACCTATCTGTCCCATGCGTGATCCGCAGATCGGGGCAATCCGTGAGCGTGCCGGAGCTCACAGCAAGCGCCGCACGTGCTGCCCCCACACACCTTGATTTCTTGGCCGATCGCCCACTCATTGTGGGGCTTGTGCGCAAAGGTCGCGAAATGGTGAGGGCCGACTACCGTAGCCGCCTCCCCGGCCACTTCCTTGCCACCAGAGTCCTTCACGCTGAGGTGGGCGGCGTACTTGGCGGAGCACGTGCAGCGGCGCTTGATCACGGCCTCGACAGATTCTGAGTGCGGGTCATGAATTGATCACGCGACTCGCACACTCAGCTGTAGCAAGCCCACACAGTGGCATTTGTGGCAGGGCGTAATGCAATGCATGCCTGATTTGAGCCCTGCAGTTGGTGCTGCAGAACTCTGTGCTGCTCACATGGTTGTTCAGAAATGTGGGTTTTACAGATGGGTCGTGCATAACTCCACAACAGAGTTTGAGGCTTGGCATGTCATGTTCTAGTGTCAGTGCCTCGTGTACGCCATGTGCGCAAACCAGCCGCGCGAATGGCAATCAGGGCTGTTGCTGCATTGATTCATGGCTGCACCACAAGCAACTACCCGGTGATGTATGCAGGTTGGCAGCATCGCTACAAGCACCACTGCAAAACCACGCGTGACTCACCTGCTGCTGCTGCTGCTGCTGCTGCTGCTGCTGCTGCTGCTGCTGCTGCTGCTGCTGGTGCTGTGGGACGATGGAGGAAGCCTAGGCGGGAGCCATGGAAGGTAGAGAGAAGGGCGCAAACGGAAGGTCAAGCAGCCTTGCAGGCACAAGACGAGGCATGCAGCTCGACTGCGGGGCTGCAGAGCTGCCTGCTGCTCTGCAACCGCCCCAGCATGCCTCATAACAGTGCTCCGCAAGCTTGCTGTGAGCAGGCCCCGGTGAAGCGTCATGCCCTTGCTTGTTGCAAAGACGATCAGCAGATGATTAGCAAGTTTGCTAGCTGACTGGATGCATGCAATGCACTGCAACTGGAAGGGGCGAATTGGTAGCTGCGTGGCATGTTGCACATGGTGGTGCATGCGGTTGCTATTGACAACTGGGACTGCTGCTGCATGGATTCACAGCTGCTCCACAAGCAATGGCTGGAGATACAGGGTCTGCAGGCTTGTCACCAGCAACATCGCAAACCCTGGCAGCATCTCACCTGCTGCTGTGGATCATTTAAAGAGGCCCAAGAAACAAACGTGAAGAGAAGATGCGATGAGAGGGCAGGGTGTGAGGACAGCCAGGAGGTGGTGGAGCAAAACATGTGTGAAAAGAACAAAGATGGGACGGGCATGGATGCAGAGCGTCATCAGCATCATTCATTCTCTATGCCGGCAGCAGTATGCGGGTGGTGTCGTCAGCATGGACAATCGGGATACATGGATGAGGAATTGAGCACACAACACCCGTGCTTGAAGAGGTATTGCCCACAATGCTCGGTGGCGCATTGTCTGTGCTTCCAAGGTGCAGCTGAGTCTTCAATTCAAGTTAGCACTGATCATCGTCCCCAACCACGCAGCAACACTGCTGTGGCCAACCACATTAACCCCGAGTCCCAGCCAGTTAGCCGGAGGCCGCAGCCAGTTGTATGAATTGTACCATTCCATGAAGCTCACCTGAGTCTGCTGCTCCCGTGCCTGGATAGCAGCGAGGGCCGGGTGGTGACGATGCACAGTGGCCAATGGCAGCACGGGCGCAGGAGGACAGGAATTCAGCAGGTGACGGCGCACAGTGTGCGCCAAGGACAATGATTGAGGTGTGGCGAGGAAGCAGAGTATGCCAGCAGTGTCAACACATGCATTCTGAAGTCAAATAGAGGCAACCTGTGGCCAGGTGCACACCTGCTGCAAGCTGTGCACACAGCTGCAGGGTGTGAGGCACGGCCACGGAACTGCTACTGCTCGTGCTCATTCCAGCCCTCGCCAAGCCTCCACACACGGGTATTGACCAAAAGTTCACTCACAGTAAGACGAGCACCCCCAAAACATTGCCGGCTGCAACCTCGGGTCGGCATATCCCAGGCAACCCACCGTCACCAATGAGTGCAATGATCATGGCCCGCTTGAGGCTGTCCGTCTTGAGCACTAGCCAATCTGCCGTGCCGGCATCCATCTTGTGAATGGCCTTGAACGCAGCAGCCTTGAAGTCATCATCGCGATCCTTAAACAGGAGGTCCATGGCCTGCAACAGCATCTGCTTGGGCCCCGGCGCAGCCATGGTTCAGCCCCCCTTCACGAGCCTGCTCCTGTCGCGCGACAGGCAGCAGGCGGCTTGAGCTGCTGAAGGATCACAGCTGCAGGTGTTGTCAAACACAGGCTGAGGGTGGGGTTGCACCCCTGATGAGATATTGAATCAATGCAGTCAAACTCTGACTGGCTGCAGGCCGCCGCACACGCCAAGGTGGCAGAGGAACACGTCGACCACCCTGCTGCAGCATGCAGCGGCGCACCAACCCGGACTGCGCTTTCACCTAGCTGCAACTGGGCGACCGTCGGCCTCCTCCTGGGACAGGTTGCAGCGCAACATACGGACAGGTGTGGCAGAGAATGAAAGGGCGCCAGTAGCACAGTGGTATCACCGAAAGGGCCTAAGCAGTGCACAGCCTGGCAAAGCTTGGAGACTGTGCAAGTGACTAATAAAACCCAGCAATTGTCGCTGCAAGAGCTGCGGCCTGCTGATGAAGACACGTTTAGGGCAATTACCTGAGATTGCTGGCGGCTCCAGCTCCGAACACGGAGAAATGGCAAAGCTGGAGCGCGGTTGAGGTGCAAACATCACATGCAATGCGCACTTGACATATATGTTTGTATATTCAAAACCATACAACGGCAACAAACTGTTTTGTGGTACGGTATTGCTGGTGCTGGGCCCCGTGCCTCCTTGCTGAGTGCCTTGCAGCTGCTGTTGCTGCACAACAGCAGCTGCACTTTTGGCGGGCAGCAGCTACAATAGTAGGAGCTGCTTGATTTGCACCCAGCGAAACAATAGCCCGCCACGAAGCGTGGCTTGAGCAAAGAAGATACCAGACAAGGCTATGCACACACAAAACCAGCCAGCCAGCAGGAAGGATGCATGAATAGCACATACCATGGGCAGGCAGGAAAGCAGTCACAATGGATGGATAATAGCACAGGCAGAGCACGCAGGTGCCAGGCAGGAGACAGGTACTGTCAGACAGCTTGATTCAGCAGGTCTGGGTGGTACAGGACAAGACAATATTAGCAGAGGACATAACAGAGGGTACAGCGGAGGAAGCAGAACAGGGAGGTGCAGAGGCCCTTTGCGGCACCGTGGTGCGGCGAGGAACGGCGCGCGCTGCGTCTTTGGAGATGGGTTTTGGGGAGCGCGCCGCTGGGCGATGGGGTCGGGGGTAGGATGCGGGGCGCCTGCCGTGTGTTTGTGCGTGGGTGCCTGCCGCATGGTGACAGCTAGCTTAAAAATCAATCCCTCGTGCGGCCATCAGGACGTACTGCTACTGTGAACGTGTTGGCTGGTGTTGTCTGCGTTGCAACTGGCCACATTTTACGCACCTGCCATGTGCGTAAATTGTGCGTGAGTGCGGGTCGAAGCTGCCAAGCCTGCCGCACTCCAGCATCGAATGAGACGCCCTCGCTGCACACGTGGCGACAGGGTGGGCACGCAGGGCAGGCAGGCTGGAGCTATAAGTTGCGCGTGACAGGCTGCGGCGAGCAGACATGCAGCGAGCTCATGCATCACGCGTGGCTGCGGCAGCTCAGCTGGGTGCATGTTGCAAAGGCGGGCCCACCAAAAAAACCAGGCCCGTGTCATGAATTCACCCGGCTTGTGGATTGAATCTAGCATTGCTGCGGCAGAAATTGTGGGGCCAGGGTTGAGCTGAGCTGACTGATCTGCGACCCCAGCTGCCTGGATTGCTTGCGATCTCGGCTCCAATGCATGATATCACAACCCCAAGTAGATAATTGCGCAGGACCCCCACGACCAGCACACGCTGCGCGCAACGGCCGCAGCCGCTCCAAAGAGGGCCACCCACCTTTAGACCACGGATGCTACTGCGGCACGGCTGCGCCAAGTCCGGGACCAAACAGGTGCCGAGCCAGGCGGGCGTCATCCGCAGCCAAATGCGTGTGCAGCCCAGCAGCTGGCCCATCTGCGCGCTCCGCACCTCCTGACATGCGACCATTGCAATCTGTTTCGATGGGTTGTGACCAATCGTCTTGGGCTAGTTGGGCAATAGCACTAAGCCGCCGGTATCTGACGTCACTGTTGGATGCGCCCATGGCTGCGCTGATTCTCGCCCTCGTTTAGTCTGGCTGCTTGAATGCACACTGCGCTGCAACCTCACCGGGGCACCATATGCTGGGATTGTATTGCTTCGTAGCTTGATATGGCAGTTGTGAGCTAGTATGGGTAGCTCGAAGGAGAAAATAATCGCTCCCGAGGTCTGCCCGCACCCTGAGTCGTAGCCGTCCAGGACACAAGGGCGCATATGCTTGCCAAACAGCAGCCACGCGTTGGCTCATGCCGCGTTTGCTCATGTCAAGATTCAAACCCTTCAGTCATAACATGCCTATTTATATCATAGAGGCACTGCTTTGTGCCGGCCACAGGCCGTGACAGCTGCGTAGCCGGTGGCCCCGTGTGTCATTTCGGGGTGGTCAGCACTTGAGAGGACGAAATTCGGTGTGCACCAGCCACGAGTGGCGCTGTGAGCAGCGTCCCCGTTGTCGGCACCACCGCGAACGGCATCCTCGGAACGGCCACCCTCCCCCTGGGCAGCCTCACGGGCTCGCTGACCAACGGTAACCCCCTGCGAGTCGGGACTGTCACCGGCCTCACTGGCGGTCTGACCAGCCCCTTGGCACCGTCACCGGCCTCACTGGCGGTCTGACCAGCCCCCTTGGCACCGTCACCAGCCTCACTGGCGGTCTGACCAGCTCCCTCGGCGCCGTCACTGGCCTCACCGGCGCCGGTGGTCTGACCAGCGGCAGCCCTCTCGGCGCCGTCACCGGCCTCGTGGCTGGCCTCCCCGTGGTTGGCGGCGTGGTCGGCCCCGTCACCAGCGTCGTGGGCGGCGCCGCTGGCGGCGTGGTCGGCTGATTATTGCGCGAGAATTGCATCGCTCCCGCCGTGGCACTGCATGACGCCTGGCTGCAAGCTTGCACTTGAGTGCTTCTCTGTGCGGGATGCATGCGCCTCGTTGGAGTTTTGACACCCTGCATCCCCTTTGCATCTTGTGCAGTCAACAGACACGTGCGCACGTACGGGGTCCCACACAGTAGATATTACGCCCGCTTACATTGGTCCCATTCTAGGACAAACCGGGCAGCCCGCACGACTCAAATGCACGCCTATGCAGACCGTGGGAGCATGATGCTTGCCTGGCCTGTATGGCTGCTGTGCATCTGCCTTGACCTTGACTGTACCTGTGATGGCTGCTGCTGCCAACCGGCCGCAGCCACACATTAGTGTAACAACTCAACACCTGAATTTAATATACACATGCAATTGTGTCCATTGTGCTTTGACATTAGACTTCCATTGGCGCAGCAGCTTGAGCTCCATGTTGTTGACTTGTCCACGCTGGCAAGCTGAGCGACGCCCAGCCAGCAATCATGAGTTTATTTGGTCCCGGGTGCAATGCATTGTGCCCGCTGCACAACCAATAGGCCCCGCATAAATGACTGCCACATAGACAAGTGAGGGGATTTGGGTGTAGTCACATCTCTACAATACAAGACGCGCAATGCCGCGAGCCTGCAATGTTTGGTACGATATCCTATTGGATTGGCCAGCGAGCTGCAGGTACCATATTCGAGGTAGAGCTGCAAAACTGCAAAAATCCAGCGGCGGCCAAGCGGCGGCAGGCGTCGCTGGGCAGGCCAAGGCCTGCAGATAGAGAAGAACGTAACTGACGGTGGCTGGGGCCCTGCCTCGCAGGGCGAGCGTGCTGTGGACCAACCTGTGGGCTGCACAGGCTGAGCAGGAAGTCGCAGGCTGGCCTGACTCAGGCGCGGGATGTCGACACAGAGGCATGCGAGCATGCACAGAGCGGCAGGTAGGGCAGCACCAAGATCAGGCTGCTGGCAGGGCCGGTTTCTGTACCAGCTGCAAACCAAGCAACGCGCGCAGTGTGTGCTTGCCTTAGTACTCGCACAGCTCGCCTTGAGTGCTTGTGAGCGGCGCCCCATCCCGCCCACCGGGTCATTGCAGCACTCGCTGCACAACTCAGGCCTGCTCCTTCGTTGTCAGGTTTGAATGCATGGCGGTGGAACGCTTGGAGTAGTTCAGTGCGGCCGTCGATTGACCATGGAATCAGTTGTGTCCACATTGTGGTGCTGTTTCGGCACAATCTGCAGCAGGTGATGGGCGTAATCGTCGCTTCGGCTCACGCCTGCTTGGCTGCACGTGGCGCTTTGATTAGGTGACTCCCGCGCCATGTTCCGATGTCTTCCTGTATCAGTTTGACAATGTGACCATCACTTGGAGTCCTGAGGCGACTTCACATGTGGGGCTAATCGCTCCCAATGCCTCTTTGTGTCGTGAGAGGGGCCGACAGTGATATGATAATCAATGCAAAGCCTCATCCAAACACGGGCACCTTTGCTGCTCCCGCAGCAGCCAGCCGCACGCCGGCTTCGGCCTTGTGAAAAGAAACACAGCTCCTGAATGCGAATATACACAAGTTTTGGATCGTGGAGGCGCCGCTTTGTGGCGGTCATAACCCGAGGCTGAAGAAGTCCCCCGATGAGTCAACCAATGAGTATCCCCGGCGCGAGAAGGTCGGTCACCAACATATGAAGCACACATGTTTCGGCCTAGTCTGCTTTGACATTCAAAGGCTTGGTCCTACTCCTCCGCTGACGGACTCCGTGAGACAAGCCCCACTCGCACAGTCTACCCCGTGGGTACACGCGGCCGCATACATGCGGGAAATGAGCGTGCAGTTGGCCTTGACTGCCTGCATTGGCATCCGCAACACGCATGGCTACTCCGCACTTGCTCCAGTCCCTTGCGTCACCCTCATCACTACTGATGCCAGCTCGCACAACCTGCTCCCCTCCCCTCCCGCCCCGCTCCTCACCTGCCCCTGCTCCTGCTCGTGATACACAGGCAAACGTCTTTCGCCCTCTACCATGGCTCGTACGAGATTTATGGCTTTGGCCGCTCTGGCAGTGTTAGCCCTGGCCACGCCCGCCCTCGCGGGCCGCACATTGAAGGACGGCGTCACCAGCGCCGCGGCCAGCCCGCAACCTGATGCGGTGCTCGGCTCCGCCACCGGCATCCTGACCGGCGTCACCTCCAACCTGGGCGGCACCGTCACCAGTCTAGGCGGGTCCCTCACCAGCACCGTGAACAGCCTGCCCGTCGTCGGCCCCACTGTTGGCCCCACTGTTGGTGGCCTCCTTGGCCCTGTCACCAACACCGTCGGCGGCACCGTTGGCGGCCTCCTTGGCCCCGTCACCAAAACCGGTGGCGGTTTGACCACCGGCAGCCCCACCGGCGCCGCCACCGGCCTCCCCGCTGGGTTGACCAGCACCGGCCCCTTCGGCGTCCTTGGCCTGGTGAGGGAGTTGTTTGGCTAGCGACCGAGGGGGGCGCCCCTACCTGGCGCCTTGTGGCGGCCTATGCCGCGAGGGTGCAAATACAACACCCTGGGCCCGGCTGCGATGGCGGGCCTGCGCCAGCAACTGGGAGGGTGGGATGTACATGCCTGGGACCATGCGCTAGCAAACCGGGCTGCACGGGCCGCCCAGCAGGGCGGGTGCTGGTGCCTGAGCAGAGCATGAGGCTTGCTTTGCCGCTAGCGATGATGTTTAGGTGCCTGAGGCCGGCTTCCCATCCACATGCCCTACTACTTCCGCCACACGTCCCGATTTCGGACCACCAACATGCTCGGTGGCTCAAGCGCACGTGCTGCTGCTCTCCCCCCTTTGCGGTGTCGCCAACCCTGCATTGAAATACCCCCACCCTTTGCCCCCACTGCGATGGCCGCGACCTGATGAAACGGCTGAACATGCCCTGCTCGTCTGCCCTGCCTATGCGGACCTGCGGCCGCTCCGCACTTCGCACCCTTGTTTGCGGACCTGCCTGCACATGCTGGCGTGCATGCGCGCCCTTGTGCGCCGTGCGGACCAGCACACACTTGGGGACTTTGTGCACGCCTGCTTTTCTTGTAACACTCCTAACCCTTATCCTATTTGAACGGCGAACAGTGGCCACTTGCATCCCTGTCACACAATGTCGACGACAATGCGGATGCTACCAAGTCATATCCCATGAGCCTGGATGGCTCCACGAGCGGGCGACCGCGGGATCTTGTAACAATCCTAATCCCAATCCTAACTCTAATCCCATGTACGCCCATGCAGACCGTGGGAGCATAGTGACAGATGCTTGCCTGCATGGCTACTGTGCAGCTGCCTTGACCTTGACTGTACCTGTGATGGCTGCTGCTGCCAACCGGCTGCTGCCACACATTGATGTAACAACGCATTGCCTGATTTTGACACCCATGCAATTGTGATTTGACAATAGACATTGATTGGCGCAGCAGCTAAAGCTCCATGTTGTTGACTTGTCCACGCTGGCAAGCTGAGCAACACCCAGCCAGCAATCAAATGTTTGATCCCGAGTGCACTGCATCGTCCGCGTTGCACAACCGATAGGCCCCGCAAAGATGACTGCCCCATAGAAAATTTACGGGATTTTGTTGCAGTCAGCAGTCGTATATCAACAACAAATATGTGTACAGCAGGACCTGTTGATTGGTCCCGACCTTGCAATCAGGTGCGCTTGGGGCCATGTTACAATTGTTTTCCCCGCACGATTTTGTCCCCACACGCGCCTCTGCTGCTCAGGTACAACAAGCTCCCGGGTGCCACGACATGCGCGTGGAGTAAGGCGGCATGCCGATGCAGTCACGCAATGCCGCGAGCCTGCAATGTTTGTGTACGATACTCTATTGTATTGGCGGACGAGCTGCAGGTACCATGCATATTCGAGGCCACGCTGCAAAATCGAGGGCCGGACGAGGGGCGGCAGGCGTCGCTAGCTAGGCAGGCCAAGGCCTGCAGAGAAGGACTGACGATGGCAGGGGCCCTGCCTCGCAAGACGAGCGTGCTGTGGACCAACCTGTGGGCTTGCACAGGCTGAGCAGGAAGTCGCGGGCTGACCTGGATCAGGTGCGGGATGTCCACGCTTAGGCATGCGAGTATGCACATACAGAGCGGCAGGGCAGCACCAAGATCAGGATGCGGGCAGTGCGTGCCGGTTTCTGAACCAGCTGCAAACCAAGCAATATCGATGCACAGTACGCGCTTGTCCTCGCATGCTCGCACCTCGCCTTGAGTGCGTGTGAGCGGCGCCGTCCCCCCCCCCCCCCCCCCCC